ATTTCAGATGCCCATTTTTGAATTGGGTCTTTGAATTTGGGGGGGGGTGTCTGATTTTTTTCAGTTCTTTATATATTCTAGATAGTAGACCTTTGTCTGAAGAACAGCTGCTAAAAATTTTTTCCCACTTGTAGTTTGTCTCTTAGTTCTGTTGGTGGTTTCTCTTGCAGTGCAGAAGCTTTTTAGTAAGATGAGATCCCAGTTGTTGATTCTCTGTGCTAGGTCCTGTGCTACTGAGGTTTTGTTCATAAAGTCTTTTCCTATGCCAATGTCTTCAAAAGTTCTACCTAACTTATGTTCCAGCAAGTTTAGTGTTTCTGTCTTAATATTTAGATCTTTAATCCACTTTGATCATAATTTAGTGCATGGTGATAGATATGAGTCTATTTTTTTGTTTGTGTGGGGGTTTTTTGGTACCAGGGATGGAACCCCGGGACCTTGCACTTGCGAGGCAGGCACTGGAACCACTGAGCTAAATCCCCAGCCCCAGATATGAGTCTATTTTCAATCTTTGACCAGGTGAAATCCAGTTTTCCCACACCATTTATTAAATAGGCTATCTTTCCTCAAATTAGAATGGTTGGCTCCTTTGTCAAAGGTGAGGTGGCTGAATATGTCTGGAGTTGTTTCTGCATCTTCTAATCTATTCCACTGATCCTCGGGTGTGAAAAGAAGTTTTTTGATAGGCTCAGTGTGATGGTGCATCCCTAGCATGCTGGGAAGCTGATTCAGCAGAATGGCAAGTTGAAGCTCAGCCTGAGCAACTTAATCATCACTGAGAATCTTCCTCAAAATAAATAAAAAAGCTAAAGATGTAATTCAGTACTAATGCCTGTGTTTAATTCCCAGCACTGAAAAGAAAAAAAATGTGCTATATAATTGGCCATAAAGGTGAATGTTATGGCATTTGCCAAAAAAAAAAAAAAAAAAATGGATGGGTCTTTGTCCTATATTGTTAAGTGAAATAATTCAGATACAGCCTGTGAAATGTCACATGCTTTCTCTTACGTGAGAAACCAAAAATATAAATTAGGGAGTAAAATAAAGGAGAGGTTATTTAAAAATAAAAGCCTGACTTTTTGGAGATGAGGAAGACAAATGGGATGAGGTGAGAATGGGAAGAGTGATGTGGGAAAAGGTATCAAAATGATGGATATGTGATATGTGTATGTACCAATTGCCCAAAATGAAACTAAGTCTTCTGTATTGTAAAATATACCATTTTAGAAATTCCCAAATGAAAGCCACTCTGGGAAATGGCTATACTGAAGGTATCCACCAGGGAATTCAGTTAATTCATTGTCAGAATTTCTTAAGATGCATCAAACAAGAACTTCCAATAAATCATTAATATGGAGACCCATTTTGTTGTGACTTTTTTTTCCTTTACAGAAATGAAGAGATAGAGAAATGCTATCAAAATAAATGTTGGAATAATCATGAAGAAGTACTCCTTTGGACTCCAGATGCTAATACAGACATAAAACAAGGTGGTTTAAAAACAACTGAGAGCCTTGCTTGCAGAAAGCCCCTGACTGGGCATTTGTCACTAAATGTGCCCATCATAGCTCACACTGGACTGAAGACATATGAGTACTTAGGATCAGAAGAGAAGAAGCTATACAAATGTAATGAACAGGGAAGAACCTGCAGTGATTTTCAGTCCTTCCAGAAGGATGCCAGGATGAAGACTGGAGAGAAACCCTATGAATATGATCAATGTGGGAAATCCTACTCTGATCTTAGTGAAAGAACTCACCTTAGAGAGAAGACTTTTGCACATAAGAAAAATTTGAATGCCTCCAGCATACCCAGTGATGTTCAGCTCCATGAAAGAAATCACAATAGGGAGAAAGCCTATATATGTAAGCAATTTGGGACAGCTTTTAGTACACAAGATTATTGTAAAATGAATGAAAGAACTCAGACTGAGGAGAACCCCTATGTATGTAAGCAATATGGGAAAGCTTTCAGTCAGCATGAACATTGTAAACAACAAGAAAGAAATCACACTGGGGGGAAACCTTATGCCTGTAAGCAGTGTGGGAAGGCTTTTAGCAAACACAGTCGTTGTCAAATACATGAAAGAACTCACACTGGGGAGAAACCCTATGTGTGTAAACAATGTGGGAAAGCTTTTAGTACACAAGATTATTGTAAAATACATGAAAGAATTCACACTGGGGAGAAACCCTATATATGTAAGCAGTGTGGGAAAGCTTTTAGTACACATAGTAATTGTCACAAACATGAAAGAACTCACACTGGGGAGAAACCCTATGTATGTAAGCAATGTGGGAAGTCTTTTAGTACACGACGTTGTTGTAAAATACATGAAAGAATTCATACTGAGGAGAAGCCCTATGTATGCAAGCAGTGTGGGAAAGCTTTTAGTACACAAGGTTGTTGTAAAATACATGAAAGAATTCACACTGGGGAGAAACCTTATGTATGTAAGCAATGTGGGAAAGCATTTAGTACACAAGCTCATTGTAAAATAC